TGCAGGGCTTGTGACACCGTGGGGGACCCACGCTGGAACAGTTTTCGCCTAAAGGTCTGCACCCCATGGAAGAGACCACGCCGGAGCAGTTCATGAAGGACTGTAGCCCGTGGGAGGGACTCCATGCTGGAGCAGGGGAACGATGAGAGGAGTCCTCCCCCTGAGGATGAAGAAGCGGCAGAAACAATGTGTGATGAACTGACCGTAACCCCCATTCCCCGTCTCCCTGTGCCGCTGAGGGGGGCGAAGGTTGAAGCCGCGAGTGAAGTTGAGCCCAGGAAGATGGGAGGGGTGGGGGGAGGTGTTTTTAAAATTTGATTTTATTTCTCATTCCTCTACTCTGTTTTGCTTAGTAATAAATTAGATGAATCTCCTCTCTCAGTTCAGTCTGTTTTGCTCGTGACGATAATTAGTGAGTGATCTCTCCCTGTCCTTATCTCGACCCATAAGCTTTTCGTTGTACTTTTTCTCCCCTGTCTAGTGAACGAGGGGAGTGACAGAGCAGCTCTGGTGGGCACCTGGCCCCCAGCCAGGGTCAACCCACCAAAGCTGGCAATTAGACAAATAAGAATATTAGCAGTTTCTTGCCCTTTTCTTTCTTGACCATTTGTATTACAGTCAGAGACTTCTAGCTTTAGCAGCATTTCAATGCCACTAAATTTCTCATCAAACAAAAATTACACTGCTGAAATATGATAGATATTATTTTTTAATTTTTTTAATCACTGGCACTATGTAAATCCATGCCACATATAGCAGACCTTAAGTCTTGGATGTCTCCTAAAAGAACTGGCAAGACTTTAAATTTTAGAATGTTTAATAATTTTTTCTGAGTATTTTATTTACTCCTTAGAAGTTTAAGATCACAGACTTATAATGTTTTAACTTGATTTTTCTTTTAATCAGTAAATTCTGCCCTTCAATCCATTTAGATGCATACAATAAACCTCACTACATTATAATATTCTTTCATTATATTGTAAAATTCCAAGTGTTCCTTTCAGACACATCAAAGATAATACAACATGAGCAATGAGATTTCAAGAATATGGGAACAAAATTTTGCAAAGTAATATTTTCTTTCAGGTGGAAATTCAAATTACCACAACTAATCTGAGTTTTCCTTCCAAAGGGACATCTAATTATAATAAAATTTAAACAGTGGTGAGTTTAATAATATAAAAATGTGGGGATTCCAAACCAGGTTTGAACATGTATAACAAAAGTATCAAAATAAACACTTTGAAAGTGTTCCTAAGCCTTGTGTTTCAGGGCTAATGTAATTTTTAACAACTTGATATTATCAATAGGTGGAAAGAAGTCCTTTCAAATCTCTACTACATGCTACTTAAGACTTTCTAGGAAGTGCTTCATATTGGCTACAATCACATGGGCAACTGAACAAAACTGGCCTTGCGCCCCATGCTAGAGTAGCAATTACAGCATTCCATGGTTGTGCAACACCATCAAGAGGCAAAGTGACCATCCATGTAGGATCAGTTTGGCAGATACTTAATTTGCTCTTAAAGGGGGACCAAGTGTCTAGGTGTAGACTAGAGCTCTTCATCTGAGAAAGAGCGCACTTATTATTCAAAGCTCACTGACAATATTAGTCTTCTCATGGCTGCCAAAGAATTGCAGATAAGGCCTATATATAAAATCGAATCAAATATTCTCCATATAGTTGTAAAAAAATGTGATGTAGTCCAAATTTAGGTCCTGATCAACTTGTATAATAACATAGGCAAAGGAGAATTTTTTTTTTTTTTAAACAGCACTCAAAGTATTGATTTCCCTGGCAGCATGAAAATAAATGCAGCTGTCAACTAATTAAAATGCTAGGCAGGCTGCATATTTTCATTGTATGAGTATTTACTTAAAACTTGAAAGAAAGCACTTATTACTAAATGCTAATACCAATGTATTAAACTTGTGAAGGTACACACACAAAATCTAAGAAACACAATCACGTAAAATCCCGGGGAGGGGGAAATTTAAAAGGATAATTTAACACTAATTTATTACTGGTTTTGAGACAAATTACCATAGCATAAAAAGGCATTTAGTATTTGATTTATGTTGCTTTTTTCACCATAAACTGAAAACTGAGACAACACTTAAAATTATGCAAATAACCAAATGGGTCAAAATCCCCTTTGTGGTTTTACATCTAACACTGATATTTCAAAGGACTATAATATTTTTCCTTTGTTTAGGGTCACTGACTATTATAAGGTTAGAAATTTTAGCCTCATCACCATATTTCTTGCTTAAAAAAGGGAATCAAACATTACAGTTTAACCATATGTTGTTCCTGCTCCTTAAAATAATCAATCCTTCCCTGCAGTTACAATGTAATTTTTTTCACATTTTTACTATTATTCAAAGTAGTCTAATGTACTGCATAATTTGATACTTCTAATTACTTTGACTAACATTTTATCTTTTGCCTCTTAAGTTTTCTTCCCATTCTTTGAATTGTTAATTTTCTTTAAGGGAACCAAATTTCATAGGTCATTTACATGAAGGGCAACCTGGCAGAACTTTCTACGCTGAGATTCTGCCATATAAATTAATACATAAATTTATTTGCAATTAGATTTTTTTCTCTCCTTCCTCCCACTACACAACTCCTTTTCCAAACAAAATCCCGTGAAAATCTTGAGTCTTCTGTCAAATACCAAATAGACTTATTTCTGAGTTAAACATTTTGTTCCAAAGAACTTTACATAACCATTCAGAATGGTTGTCCAATTGTTGTTCCTGCCCTTTCCTGATTGCTGTTCCTGCCCTTTCCTGATTGCTGTTCCTGCCCTTTCCTGACCATGTGCTTAGTTCTCTTGTCTGGACCAGTGACGCAGAAAGGGATATTTTTCTTGAATTGCATCAAATCTCATGCTAATTAAAATACTCTGTCTTCAGTGTTGAGACAGGTAGTTCTATCAGGTAGCAGCAAGCTTTCATACAGCTACATTCTTCTACAATGCAATGTGAAAAATTTTAAGTGACATTACAAAAAATCTTGTCAGAACTGCTATATGAGCCAAAGAGGTGGAACAAACATAAGAAGATTATCATATGCAAATTATTCAAGGCATTCATTTGGATTTTCTAATACATTTGAGAAGCTCTTATCTGTGCTATCAAAGCCCATGGTATGCAGCTGCAATAAATAAGGGAAGATCTAAACTTCAATCAGTGGGATTGCCTTTTTCTTCATGAAGCAGCTAATATAAATATTGTCCTTCCTGTATCCAGTGTCTTCAGGTCTGGAGTATCCAAAGATAAGAAGCTGTTTATAACTGTAAATTAAAACACCTTGCAGTTTAACTTGCATCATGTTAGGACTGAAATAATTATGACCTTCAGTAAGGTTCCCTATGTCTTATGTATCATATGCAAGCCCTGTCAGAGTTACAAGGCAAATTTTATTTTCATTTAAATTGTTTCACCTAAATATATAATCGATTATATTCTGGCTGTCATTAATACCTGACTGTCAACAATATAGAATAAACTGAAAATGAGTCTTCATCCCAGGAAGCAGGTTAATGTTAAGGCAGAACTGTTAAGAAAAGAAATCCTGTGTGTGAAAACCAGTGCTTCCTGTTGGTTTAGCACTTGGTAGAAGAGATAAAATACCCAGGGTTGATCACCTTGGACAGTTTGCTTAAGTTAAAACTCTAAAATGTTCAAGTTTTTGGAAAGCTTTTTGACAAAAAAAGATATAATGAAGAGCTCTCATTACACCCCCCTGCCAATCTTTTAGCAGTGAAATACTGAGGTTCCAACAATGTCTGCAGCATGTGGGCATTTGTTTAAACACTTTTGTTTAACATTCAGGTTGTAAATAGTAAAGAAAAAAAAAGGGACGTTTCAACAGAGAGTTCTCAATATTCTCCCTGACAACATAAAGTTGAACTGATTTCTTTTTTCAACATTAAGGATTTGGCAACTGAAACTCAATAATCAGATATGTTGATAATGTCATTGATCGTCAAAAACCTCAATTCACGCATGGTTACTGCTATATTTGCTTTGTAGAATTAGTATAAGTAAACAGCAATGATAATTTACTTTAGATAACACTTTGGCATACACACAGGGACCTGATGCATTCAGTGCGATATGTGACCCTGTGTCAATTTTAGTGCATTTTCATAATGAATCACTGAGAATGAACATCAGAAAAGGATTGTCATTTTAGGAATTTACTGGAAGTACTTTAATTAACACTTCTTTATATTACTATGCAAAGATATCAGGAGGTAAAATTATACTGGATTTTAGGACTTAGCTAGTTTAAGCTTAAAGGTCTCCTTACCTTCTATGGCTGAGAGTAAAACACGAGAATGATCATACGCAATTACATTCGCATATCTATTCTTTGGTTTGTTTACTTCCAGGTTAGAGTGTTCCCATGTGAACTGCTGACCAGGATCAATAGACTTCAAAAGAGAAAGAGAAGAACAGAAAAGGAAACTTTTAGCTAAGTACTCGTTGTACTTATAATGATTACAAACCATATGCTCCCATAGTTTGGAAATATTTTGCTTTTGAAAGAAAATTATGACTTCGAGACACATTGTTATACATTATATCATATTATATAAAACATTTTGTATTTATGCATCTGAAATTTCCATCAGGAATTTAGACCATAAACTTTTCAAATCCAAGGCTTTCTCTTCAGAAAGGCATGCTATCTATCTTTTTATCTTTTCACTCAGTTTGGTGAGTGAGGCTTTCTAGCATAACAGAGAATGAAAAAAGTATCAGAAATCTAAAAAGCACAGGGATGAAGGGGAATAAATATTTTTGTCCTTCTCTATTACTAAGTGCACATGTTCAAACAATTCAGTGTCCTGTTTACTAAGTAAACTCCAAATGTTCCTGAAGAAGTTTTCCAGATGAAAAATGTTATTTCTGTTCTCTCATTTTGATGCCAGGCCAACACATGATACCAGTGTTGCTCAGGGAACCAAATGCATATCATCCAGGAACAACATAAAGAGACTTGATTTTTATTTCCTTAAGTCATAAATAAGAGAGCAATTCAGGCATATTTGAAATTTTAATGATCTCTTATTTATACATGTAACTATATGGTCCAAGAATCACTGGTTATTTCCTGCTCCTTCATGTTCCAGGATAGAGGTACTGAAGCTTGTCCCACACTCCACCCTTCACCAGTAGGAAGACCCCAGGCTCTTCTACTTACTTTTACCTCTATGGTTGAGGTATACATACAGAATACCTCATATCAGATGGTACCTGGTTATGTCCACCAAAGGTCATCTCATACTGAGAAGTCACGATTAATCATGTGCTGGTTTACTTTTCCTTTCCGTAACATTAGAGACCTAAAATTGGTTCATCAACACGTACATGCAACTATAGTGTGCAGCTTATGCCCTTTGCTTAATCCTGGTTATAATCAGCAGCTCCCTATGCCAGGTTGCTGTAAATTATAAAAGCCTAATGACACATATAAGCCCAGATGGGGCAGTTCATCAACACTATGTTCACTTGCCATGAGCAGACCATCAACAAAGCCAAAGTCGGAAGCTCCATACAGCCACTACAGTATCAATTCACCACTTTTATATCACTTTTCCTGACTCCTCCCAGGCTTACAACAGCTCTGAGTCCATTTTATTCTAATGGAAATGAAATATGACCTGTAATCTTTTAGAGTAGGTATTATCAGACAATGAACATGTGTGAAATTAATTAGCATGATCTATTAGGATTTATCCCTTAGATTAATAATTACTATTTGGCCAGTCAGAAAACTGCCTCATTCGTACGCATCTTCACATGTATTATACAATTTTTTTATGTAACATTCAGAGAATGACTTTGCTTCTTTCTTGGGATTGTAAAAAAATCATTTTGCCTGGGTGCCTGATCTTAGACCATTTTGCCTGGTCTTAAAATACCCGAGCATTTCTCTTTAGGAAACTAAGTCCCAGTACCTTATTATTAATACCCTAGACTCAATTAACTTTTATAACAGTTACCAGCTATTTTTCCTAAATTTTGCTAACTTTCATTACAGTCCTCTGGAGCTGGGCCTGGCTGAGGTCTCCTGAATAACCTGAGTTCCACTGAGCAGAGGTGTGCATTGGTTGAGGTTCTGGCTCACCCTTTGCATGATGCTTTACCTACAGTAGCTGAGGCAGAGTGTGTGGCAGCTGCTCCCTCAAGAGGAAATGAAATGGGACTTTTTAGAGGAATGAGGAAGAAATTAACTACTTGGGAGAACGATGAAGGCCATGACGATTTTACTTGGATATGACTCACTTGAGTTGTATTACTATGTGTGTTAGTAACAATTCAAAAGATGTTCTTAAATCATAGAATCACAGAATGGTTTGGGTTGGAAGGGACCTTAAAGATCATCTAGTTCCAACACCCCTGCCATGGGCAGGGACATCCTCCACTAGATGATTTCCAGGTCTGAATGAACCTGATTTCTTTTAATTTCCACACAATTTTTGTTGCCAAAAAAGATTAAAAAAAAAAAAAATATCAATATTCGGTTCACAATCTTAGCAATTTGTGGAACTATGCTGAACATATCTTAATATGCTAATACTGTTAATATCTTACTATTTTTAAGCTAGTACCTTAATAGGCTAGTTATTAAGAAATTTACAAAATTGTTCATGGCTTTTTTCCAGCCTTATTGTATTTTGTTTTCATATATAGGAACAAGATATAACTCAATTGGTATTCTGCCACTTGCAAAAGTAGACATTACTTTTGTGCTGTGCTTCAGTATAAACATAACAATCTGATACTTCCAATATTAGGGCTTGGTCCTTCTCCGATCAAAACATTACTTTTTCTGACTATACAGTGAAATTCATATTTATCAATAAAGCAATTTTTTACTCTGCAAAATTTTTATTCCATTTTCTTACAATTTAGTTTCACTACAGCAATGTTTTCCCATCATCTGCGATGGATGGCTGATGATAGAATTTTGTAGGTAAGCACTTCACTTAAAAACACAAATATTTTTGTCTTTACTGCTAAGTGCTATTTATTTCATCTAAAGTGAAAAAAAAAAAAGAATTTGGACCACACTTCCATCAGCATTGGGAAGAGGAGAGTCATATACATATATAGTATATTTAAGACATGTAATACACCTCTTTATTAACTGACTAGCAATTTATCTAAAAAAAAAAAAAAGTTGACAAGTTGAAAAGCAGGCAAATTTACATAATGACTTTTCTCAGCAAGAATCTCCCCTCTTTTCCTTTTTGAGTTAATGGAGGTGAATAAGATAATTTGTGCAGGATGTTTGCAGGTCAAGTTTTCAGTATTTTAGAAAGTAATTAGTATGAGTTTAGCTCAGAATTCTACTAAGTTGGAACATAAACACAGTAATTTCAAAATAAACAGAAGATACTTTCAATATATTAGTTCTTTATGCTCTAAATTTTGAATAAAAGCAATTATTTGACCAGGAACAAAGCACTTCTGCACTATCTGTGACTACTAGTCAAATTTTTCGAGAAGCATATATGCAAGCTAGCTAGCTAAAGGGCAGCCGACTGCCCCAGAATGAGGCAACACTGCCCTGCATTCTTCTACATATATAACTGAAAGAAACACTCTGCCTGATCTTTTAGGTTTTTACCTGAAGCGCCCAAATATTCTGGAAATTAGTTCACAATATATCACATACATTTTCTCTTCACACTTGACAAGAAAAGTAGAAAATAAAAGAATAAACTGGCTGACCAACATGCTGCTAGTTTTGAGTCTGGACTAGGACTTGGTCTTTACCCTGTCAAAAATAAAAAGGATGTACATATATTAAAAAAACCCACAACCAAACCCATAAATTATCTATTCATAATTACAACTACTTGCAAACATAAAATTTAAGGTGCATATTTGCATATACAGTTGCACTTCAAAAATTATGGTCCAAGTAGATTCTTACCCATTAGGAGAAAGAGCTTCAGCACTATATTGTATCTATTGTTAATGTGAATTTATACCTTATTAAGAATACTATACAATTAAAACTGAGCTTCAACTGTTCAATATTCTTCTTCCTCTTTTCACTCCTTACCGTTAAAGCGATCTAAAGCTGCTTTTTGATATGAAGAAAAAAATCAAACAGCAGCTTTGTCTGTTGGCTGTTTGTAGAAGTGGATGAAGACATGTTCATCACAGCAGTATACTATACTCCCCATTCACTTCTTTGTGTGATGTATGGCCAGATGGTGTAATTCAATAATTAATATTTAGGCCCACATGCAGACATAGTTAACATAAATTACATCAAAACCAGGCAAATGGACTGAACTTTAATCTTTCCTGCTTTTCTCACCCATCTGAACCACTTTGTGGCCTTACTATCCTCCCACAAAGCATTGCTTTGGCAAAAGAAAGTTAATCTATATTTCCTCACACTTAATAGCCACACTGGAACAAAGAGTAGAGTGGTATTGGCAGACACATTTCAGAACTGTGAAAGACCAATAACTCATGAATAACAAGTCTGTACTAACAGTTTTAATGAGTGCTTTAATGGTTTAATGGATGGTACTTTAATAGGATTTCTAGTATATTCATTCTGAAAGCTTGCCTTCAATAAAGCCATCATTAACAAAGAACTGGATTTCTTCATAGCATAACTGTGTAGTATGGGTGCTTTGTGCAAAAGAAATAAAGATATCTGTAATAGTCTTATTACCCTCCCATGCTTTGACTAATCTTTCAGCTATTGTGTTCTAAATGGTTGGCTGCTAAGAAAAGTCTGATCTCTTACTGGGAAAAGACTTGAGCAATATTTACTAGTACGACACACCATCCACAAAATAGTTCTTTGACTATGAATCACGGTAACCAAAAGGTGTTTCCAGAAGAATTTCAAACAGCCCCCCACCAGTAAACTCTGTACCTGCTCATTGTGAAGTCTTCCTTTATGCTACTTAAACAAGAGGGAAATGTTCCCTGCTGCGATCGTGAGTTTTCCAGGAGTACAACCTGGCACAGTACTGGGGAAGGAATGAATATGACAAAATGTCACCCTTCCTGGTGTAAGCTGCCATATGCCTGCCTGCCCTGGAACAGCACTCTACTAAGGGTCACTATGCCAGCAAATTAAGAGCCAGCAGGTTTGAGTCCTTGTGTGTCGTGGGGATTGTGAGTTACTGTGCAGGTTTCACAAGTCCAGAAGGGCATGTCCTGTAAAAAATTTCCCAGCACTGTAAGTGCTGTGTTTGAGCCTTAAATTAAAACATCAAAAAGCACTGGGTCACAGAGAAACCTGAAACCAGGTAGAGAAAGAAGAATGAAAACGAGAAATTTGAGAGGACGTCAAGGCAAGTAGACTCCGTACAATTGGAGAAACTAGCCAGCTACCCATAAAAAGGAACAATTTGACCCTCTTTTACCAAAGTCAGCGACTGCGATGAGA